TAACACTAAATTTAGGTTACATGGAATTTAGCAGCGAATTCAATCGACTTAAGTCCTATTAGAGGGATTTGATAAAGGTCGTGAAAATATACTTTTGATGATTCACTAGCTGCCAGTCAGTTTCCGCTTCGAAATTCCATGAAGAATCACGCGGGAGCTCGAATTTTATCAATGAGGGGCCTACAGCTATACGTCCAACGCGAACGAGGCTTCGTTTACATTGAACGTATATAGGCTTTGCTTCTACTGTAGGCACTTCATTGATGGAGCTTCGATCTCTTGTGATTGAACGAAACATTTCTTTGGCTACCTGTTTTCCTGCAGTAAGTAAGTACCAGACTTAGTGGAAACTCGAGCTAGTATGTGGATGCAGTGTCGATTTTCATCTGGACATGATAGACACTACCTGTAGACGACAGCCATGTTGACACCGAAATAACAGGCACAATCCTGCGGTAGTGTGTTTGGGAATCAGATTTTGCATCATTGCAAAGACCCAGAAGGTTGAGAATGAGGCAGACAACATCCCGCCTTTTGTAGAGCCAACTGTCGGAGAGTGGGGGACTGATCATCCTGCCATCCCAGGATAGATGTTGAAACCCTGATGGACCTGGCTAATGATACCGACGGTAGAACAGCAATAACAGCTATATTCAGGCACAAACAATTTTGGTTTCATGGGACGAGCGAACCAATGTAAGAATGACATATACGCTCCGACCGAGATCAATATTCCCGATTGTCTCGTCGTCATCAGACTTCTATAGAATAATTGTTATATGGATGCATTAGAATTGTGTACGCGGATGACCTTTGTACCGCCAGTAACTGTCCCGGTAACAATATCTCCCCAGGTGTTTCATCATCTGTCTCTGGTCCACGGGACCTTCAGCTGAGCGCCCTGCCATATATGGGGCTAGCCAATTTGCTTAATGACATTTCCACTACTATACCGGCATCATAAATATTGATCTCGTTATGTTTTCATCCACTTAAGGGAAGAAAATAACATTCACAAGCATGAGATTGGCAGCAATAATCGGTATCAATAGTCATACTGTTTTGATCCACTTCTGAGAAGAAAAGATTACCCAATAATTCAATAATATGCAACAGATTTTATTAGTTTTCACATGTAATAAAAAGTACAAATACTCATTACTGCTGTTACAACCAAAACTACAATTGAACATGGACAGCCAGCCTGCTGTGGGCGATCACAATGGCGAATTGTATAATGTTTACTACAATTTGATTCTCATAATAATTAACGTAAAGACGAGACTAACCAATACAAAAGCAGTAGTTTAATAAGCACACTAGTAAGCAATGTAATCATAACTAGTATTTAATGAGTTAAAATATTGCAATAAATGGGTCAGCCAAATTGGAGTTAAAAAGGAACTAAAACCTAAAAAAAGAAAACCTGATGTGGTCAAAATATGCCCTCTTTTAATGATTATTACCAGTTATTTTAAACCGTTACCATTTTCCACCATGCCAGGACTTGGTTGAGACAGTAAGCTTCAGCAGTCATGATACAATAATTTAATCTGGGCCCAACTTGCAGGCGGCATAAAACCTTTGATTCAACTTTGATATAAACACTTGCTTCTGAAGCCTTGTCTAACCATCCCAACTAGGTCCTTCCAACACACAATATTTTGAATGTTCAACCACTTCTCGCCTCCAATAAGAACACCCACCCACAAGCTTGATCTTGAAGAGTTGATGGCTTGGGAGAAAAAAAATATATAGGTATCTTAAAATTATGTTATTCTTGAATTTAAATTTCATTTAAAAAATAGTAATAATCAATTAAAATATTCTACTTAAAAACTCAGTAAATCAATCAACTCAACCTCTCATTTGATGAGATAAGAAATAAATCATCTTTCTATAAATACCCTCATGAATTTTTATTATGACCATTAGCATTTAATGCTATGTTAATTTATTCGCATTTATAAAATGGAGCAATCAATAACAAACAAACCGTGGGTAATGTCCTATACAATGGATACTTATGAACATTTCGGAGGACCCGCCATCAAATATTGATCAAATGTGAGTTTCACTCCAGTCACTATCCCATGCCCTCCTTTCAATACAGTGTTGTCACTAGGTCAGAAACCTAAATTCAGTAAGGGAAGACGTCGAACAAACACTCACAACCTGAGGTCATGGCTTCCAAAGATGCAACTGTTTTTCTTGGTTTTTTGGTATGTAACAAAATTCTATAAAAATTTGCTTGAAATAACAAGAATTTTCATGCAAATTTTACGCGAATATCAATATCATTGAAACAAAAATATTCTTTAATGATTCAACAATGTTAGCACTATTATTCTATTTTGTTTTATGATTAAAAATTTATAACATGCGTATTTACCAAAAATATTTGGGGAACTGAACGAAAAAGAAACAGAAGCATGATAAAAATGTTAGTTTGAAATGTATCAATTTCACCAGTCCTTCCTGATTAAAAAAGAAAACCAAAAAGCTTCTACCCTGGTAAATTTAACGGAAAATGTTGAAATTGATTGTCAGGTATTCTGCTTCCAATTAAATACATTTTGATCATCATCAGTTGATAGAGGAGAAGGGACCACTAAGTAACTATAGTTAACACGAACAACCTTAACAGTGACACTACCAAAAGGCTGACCCCAAAAATGGAATGAATCATAATTCAATAACTTGATTAAAGAAGAATCTATTTTCAAACAAGAAACACATGAACAAGAAATCTCAATTCAATGTCAAAGATAAGAAATGTGAAACACTTAAATGTAAAAATTGAGAGAAAAAAAAAGTTCACCAAATAAGAAGATTACTCTGAAGGTGGGATATAATATTCAATGTTTTAAACGTCAAGCATACATAACTTTTGTTGTCAAAAAACAAGTCATTATTGCAACAAATATACAAATGGGAGTATTACGGTTCTCATTCCTGTTTTCAATCCAACACTGTGCTTGGCACACGGATTACCACAACTTGGCTGCACGTCGCAGCATACACTTACCTATAAAAACAATTCTTAACAGAACTTTATATTGCTCGATTAAAATGCAATATAAACAAGATTCTTGGACACCACAATTTCTAGACAAAGACTGTATACTAAAGAAAGAGAGCTGATGTATAAATTTGCATATTTCAGTAAACATTCAATTGCTTGAATACAAGTTTTGGAAGTCCATCAGTAATACACAATGGCATTTTTGTCTTGAAAGTGTTATAAAAGATATACTATCAACTTACACCACTATATAAAGAATCTCGGACATACAAACAAACAGCCAAAATGTGTACTCTCCCAATAAAAGAGTTATAAAGTCTCCAAACATATATCTATATGTCAACTTTTTAAGATATAAAAAAGCCTTATAAATCAGAAACTCGTGTCATCACAAAATGCGGCATGTCTTGCTATAATCAAAAGCATTGTTCCCTTATACAAACGTGTTAAAACAGTTTTATCTAAAAGCCCCAACAGGTTTTAATATATACACCAGGGGTAGTTGAGCCAGTTGATTATTGGTCAAGGAATTCTCAATGTTTATGAAATTTTTAAGTCATAATTGTAGTGGGAATGTATTGAACTGTATCAATGTTAAATCAATAATATCACATGATTCAAGGATGAAGAGATCATCCCGCTTGATAAAGTTACATATCCAGATAAAATACAAGTGGCTTAATGAAAACTCTCACTGTATTGTATCTGTATGCTATCGCCAAGACTAACAGTATGTACATATATTATTGTGACCATGACGAAAACCCTCCCTGCTCTGTCCTTACAAAATAATTGGAAGATCAATTTGGCATCAATGCATGGTTTTCTGATTTTGGTTGAAGCCATGTTTTGGCTTTCAGCAGATATCATTCAGGTATGGTTTGTTAACAAACTTACAAAAAGTTGCTATCAAATGAAGCAAATGTTCCATTAAACAAAATTCAAAGTCAGTAAAATGATGTGGTGTTTAATTATCGTGATCAATAAACAAGAAATAACCGGACCTACCTGTTATTTCCTTGTGGTGTAAAAATAAAATGAAACAGAAATCAAGAATCAAACGATCAAATCATAAATACTCCCAGTAACAGAATCCAGACAAACAAAAGTTATGAATGATTGATTCAGGGTCCTGAATCTTAAAAAATCTCTGTACACTCGTGCTGATAATAGAAGGAAAAGAATCTAGAACGGGCACAAATCACTAAATATTTCAACTAGGTTGAAAAATTATGATTTCGTGCTTACAAGGATCTTTGAGCCTAAGGTTGAGGAGGTATAGTTGTAATCTAAATGTAAAAATACTACTTGATTCAAATATGTTGTAAAGACGATACATTAAAAATATTTGGTTTTGTTCATTATTATCAAAAAGACAAAATTTATTGTTCAGTGTGCTCCACCTTCCTGGCCAAAGTGCCTTATGTTCTTTTTTAAAACGAGATCATGGCCAAAAAGCCAATATTAAATCTATCCGACAGCGAGTGTAGAGAAATTTCTTGTAAAAAAATAAATAAAAGAGAGAAATCCGAAACTGAAAAGAACTACAAATACAGTAAAAGAATGACAAGCAGCTGTACATTCTGACTACAGAAACACTCCAGTGAGCAAACGAAACAATGGCAACAGAACAAATACCAGTACAAGAACACAATAAAACGACCCAAATACAACGGATCAAATAAATATGGAAACTAAACACCGTATACACTTTACATGTACATCAAAGTATATCAACATTGGTTTTATGTGAACAGGCCTAGGGCCAACTAATTCTAAAATAAGCATAATACAAGACAATAATAAATTATATAATTGAGACGAAACTTCACAAATATTAAGTTAAAACAGACAATAAAATACATACTCTTGATTCAATAAAACAAGAAAAGGATTGATAATTTATTATGATAAATACACTCTAAATAAAATGATTTAACCAATTGATTATATACCAAAAAAAAAAAAAAAAAAAAAAAAAAAAAAAAAATGAAATAAATACATTCTGCTTCATTTGAAGACATTTGGATTTCAATTAAAAGAGAATGAAAACTTAATTTTCATTTTTGGTTAATTAAACAGCGATTCAAAGTTTTCCAATGAAAACCATAACAAAGACATACAATATTGGATTTGGCATCTTTGTATAATCAGAACAGTCTACCTATACTGAACAGTATGGCAGTGCACTTATAAGAAATGACTAGATGGTTCCTAGTTGAACGTCACCTGAGTAACTTTAGGGCTTTCCTTTGCTGTTGGTTTTGAAGGAGACTTGGAGGATGCGATTGCCCAGTGCGAACCCGTTTAAACTCTGAATGGCGATGAGAGCCTCTTCATACTGCGTCATGGTAACAAAGCCGAACCCCTTGCATTTTTGTGTTTGGAAGTCACGGATGACCTTCACATTCTGTACTGCTCCAAATGGCCCAAATAATTGCCACAATGTACTGTCCTCTGTTTCCGGTGCTAAGTTGTACACAAATATACACCAACCTGCACCGCTGAGAGCATTTCCTGCGGCCGCCGTAGAAACTGTTGTGGCAGCAGCTGTAGGAATCAGGCTGTCCAGAGGAGAATACCTATCAACAGACAACAGGACATTATCAGTCCCACAATGGCCTCTATCACTCATCTCTTCTACATCACAATCTCGCATCGAGCCAAATGTTTTCCACCACAAAAATTGGATTTGTGACAGAATCCTTCCAGTTGTACTTGTTAAAATGTCAAAATAATGTATATACTGGCAATCTGGTACAATATCTCTATAAATCTGAATGGATCTACCAAGAAAATGTATTTTTCTTGCCTAAGTTGTAAGAGCGAACAAATGTTTCTTCAAAAAGATAAAAATAAAGTGCTTCTATATGTCTCTTATCATCGAACCCAATCGTGATAAAAAGATTTGAAACTTCTGCAAAAAGCTCATGAAAAGTTGATGATGTGCAAGTTTTATACTGGAGAATAAATGATGCCAATCTGACAGCAAGCACCCCCTATTCTACAAAGTGCTGTATAAATAGTCGGATATGATCATCCCTACATTACGAGGTGGTTTACCTGATTCTGCTGGCTGGGTGGTGGATTGGTCCTAATACCGGTAATCTCCGTGTCTGGGGTAGATATGGTGCCAGTGTTATTGGGGCCAGTGTAGCCGTTTTGTTAGAACTTGGAGAGTTGGCAAATTTAACTGTGATGGGCTCCGCTGCTCCATCAGGTATCGACCCATTGAGTTTCTGTATTGCTCTCTCGGCTTCTATTCGCTGATCAAACCTAATGAACCCTACCCCTTTGGAAAGACCTGCTCAAAGGAGAAAGGAATTTGTTCAGGTTATCTGCCTTCATGGTTTAACTAAACAATATCAACGATCCAACAAAGCCCTAAAGCATATCAAACTTAAGCTTCTTTTTAAAATAACATTGCACAAAAAGGAACATTTTCATTTCACCTAATATAGGAATTTCCTAAATAATTATTCAAACACTTTTACAGGATTGAGAAGAATTTTTAACTAATATATTTATATGTATACTTTGTTTTGTTTTGTTACAAAAGTTGTGTACAGCAGTAATTAAAGACCTAAAACAGCCATCAAACATTGTGCAGATTTCAAACAGAAGCAGCTTCTGATCACAATTTGCTGTCCAGAATGGTGTACATACATTCCCGGATGACCCATCTCTAACTGTAATAATGCCTCGACAAACAATGAAAAATAATTCACCGTATCCCACCCAACACCTTTCATTTTTGGAAAAAATGTCCATGTAAAAATATTTAATCCAACAGAAACCCTTTTCAAGACTTCTCAAATTTGCTTCATTAAGTTTGGAAAATTCAAAAATATATATGCAGGAACTGTTGAAAAAAGCTTGACTTTAAAAGTTTGATACTGAAGCATTTGGGTATTTTTTCTGTATAAATTGTAGAAATGTATGTTCATGTCCTTAACAGCACTTGCATACATTTTATTTGTTCTATACTTACGCAAATAATTAAGATAAGAAAATACTTTATTATACAAATGTAGTAATACATGAACTGTAAAACACGGTAAAATGCATAAATTGCTCTTCCTGTTCGAAAGCAAGGCATGCATCAATAAATGCATTGTTCTTAAGCTGAGAAAATAAACGAGAATTGTTATCACGGTAGAGAATTAGAAATGAAGCAAAGTATAAATGCCAAGGTTAATATAATTAAACAAAGATTGAAAAACTCTACAAATTAAACTGAAAATACAAAATCAGCCCTGCATAGGAAATTTTGAACTTGCTATATGGACATGCAAACGAACAACACTTTGTATCGTTGTATATGATCTAACCTGTGTTGTTATCATACAGGATTCTAGAGGTTATGATCCTTCCACACTGTGAAAAGAACAACTCCAAATCCTGTTGGGTCATAGACTTTGGTAACCCACATATATACAAGTTTGCGCCCTTTATGCTTTCACTACTTGGCCTTGCCAGAGATACCTACATAAAAACACATGTACAGTTTCAGGTTAGTGCTTCATTACATTAAGGTATTCACGTCTAATTCCCTCAATGAAACATTACCCTCGAGACCTATCTATATGAGCACTAGTAAGTTCTTAATACCTGTATTTTGGTCATAAAGAATTCTTGAAGTAATGATTTGTCCACAGTCTGAAAATAGTTTCTCCAAGTCCAATTGAGTCAAAGACTTTGGCAAACCACTTATGTACAAGTTAGCCCCTTTAATACTTTCACTGCTGGGCCGAGCTAATGAAACCTGAAATTAATAAATAAATTTGAAATAGAAATAAATTAACAAAACAAAATGAAGAAAAACACAAATCAAATAAAGGTAAAACTAAAGATTAAAATGTCTGTAATGTATCATTTTTTTAAAATATCCTCCAATGTCCACTGTTAAATTGAAGCTGTATTATATTTGCTAACAAAGTTGTCGGGGAATTGGATGGAGTGAAAGTGAAATAAAAAAGAGGGATGGATGACTTATGGAATGATGTGGGAGAACTGCTTAACGTTGTGGCACAAAACCAAGTGAGAGTCATACAGAACAACTAAAAGCCAACGAAAGGTAACATAGGTTTTCGCTGTGGGAACTACTACTTCCAATATACATTATTGGACCGAGTTCAAAATGCATTTGCAATATAACCAGTTATTCAAGACATCGTCATTCCTCCCATCCCGTAAAGAGCATTTTTTTTATGATGCATAAACTTCGAGAAGAATTTTCTCACAATGCAGAGAAAGATGCATCAACTTCACGACTTCATGGATATTATCAGGTTGGTAATATCAGCTTTCAGAGTCGGGTTAGTTCTGACTACAAGAGATCTATATGATTATCCTATGTGACATTCCAAACATATTTTAAAACTCATGTAAGTATAGTTTTTTTTTAGTTGCCCAAGTTTCGCCATACACTATTCTAAACACAACATATACTACTTAGTTGGAACTGTTTAGTTCTACACATTTCCTTCCTTTTGTACTCCAGAGTAATCGACTAATTCTGGAATTCTGATTGTTATAATACATCTTCTAGTTTTAGTTTTTCATCTGTACCTTTAATTAACATTGCATCTTGGGATTATAACATCTCCCGGCCCACCCCGTCTGTAAAACTGCATCGTCTGGTTTTAGAGCATTTTGACCCTGTAACCTTGCATTATTATCTGGTTATAGAATTTTGACCCCTTTAACCTTGCATAATCAGGTTCTGGCATGTTGACCCCTGTAACCTTGCATAATCAGATTCTGGCATTTTTACCCATGAAGCATTGTATCATCTGGCTTAGCATTTCCACTAGGGCCATTTCATTTTTAGACTTAATTTGGTTCAGTTTGGTTTACTTCCCCCAAATCCATAATTTTTTGTTGATAGATATTCTATTTCTTATCTGTCATCGAACACAACCAGAGCACATTATGGTAGAACTTTTGGTTAAAACATTGGAATTCAGATAACAAAAGTAATCCCAAATTGTTGACATCCCTTTCAGAGTTTTATGTCATGACAAAGGCCACTGTGATTGGATAACTAACTTAACTGCCAGCCAATCAGAATGAGTAGTACTGAATATGAGTGGTACTGAATATAACTCAGTTGTGAATTATAACGGAACCCAACTGAATGCCGGAAATCACAGCCACAAATTGAATTTTGAGTACTGAACTGTCATTAAGTATATTTCTGTTAACTGTTATTCCAGAATGTTTGACCCCAGTAACACCGCATCATGTTTGGTTTCATTTTGACCCAGTTAAGATTATACTGTCCAGTTCTGTAACACCATCACCACATTCTTCAGCAACACTTATTCCTTGCTCAAAAAGGAAATAATATCTCAATATGAGGGGTGATAATGTTGACCCTTCCCCAAGTCCCAATTTCAACCCTAAAATTGTTCATCCACTTAATGGTAAAACGCTCAGTCTTTCCGATCCTCATTTGTGGAAAGATGTTTGGGAAGGACCAAAAAAATATGTATCAAAGAAAATCTGAATCTGAAACTGAAACTGATAAATCAAAGCAACAATAAACAAATTGTTATTAGAAAGAATAAAATTATGCCAAGATGCACACCCTTTCACCACTGCCAAGACAGAGACACTTGTCACGCCCAGATATGGGCCGAGTGTACAGTCCTTCACCAAGCCTTGGACACATAAAAAGCCCAGTAGCCTCATCAAGATGCATTTAACTTGTCATGCCATCCATAAAGTATTATTTGGATTATTCCTATAGTGACAACAAATCACTTGTTAAGACACGAGATTGTATTCCATAACAGCATCTCCCTGGACAAACTTGAGTCATCTCATCCCCTTTTATTTGCACACATGCATCATCCAATTGTTGTTAGAAGTATTTAAACATTTGTAACAGCATAGACATGGTTAAACAAATAGGGAAAATCTATACAAACAAAACAGTATGTGCATATGGGTCTTGTGAAGCAAACATTTTGGAAGGGAGAAAAAGCACAAATACAAGTGAACATTCAGGTCTACTGTTTGAAGTGAATTGGACTTGGAGGTTAGGGTTCCACAGAGCCAAGTCTGGGCATTGTTATGGTAACCATCAAAGGGGAATTAGATGCAGGGGCTGAGAAACAAAACTATAATGCACCATTTCTTGTACATATGAAATCAGTATCTACATACTTAGAAGTTGGATACCAGTCAATAAGAGTACAAAAGAAAATAGCAATTTCCTGTGCAGGAAATCCTGTAATTACTGTCTTGTGTATATAAGGAACATCAACATGAATATTTCAACAAAAGATACCCCATCATGCCAAAAATTACCGACTTTGTATAGCACATACAAGATTAATTAACATCCCCCCCCCCCCCTTAAATGGATGTTCTCTTCTTGACTGTATCATAGTTAAACATATTACAGAAGTTGTGGTATTGATAAATAAATCAGGTTATAACACAAAAATCCAACACTTTTCAAAGGATTGCTCAATACCGACACCGGCTTATCACAAAGTAACTATTCAAACGAAAATGTTTTTCACGGTAGCTCGTTCCTCTCAAGCCAAAATGAGTAACAGATGTTGATTATTCGAAAAGAAGATCCCTGTATACAGTACTGACTTGCATTCCAAAGGTTAGCATGTCAGAAATTAAATAAAGATGTGTAAAAAATGAAAAGAACCATTACCCAAAGGCTAAGCTAGTAGGATACTAATCTTACCTTGATAGTCTTGTTTTGTAGCCTCAAACCGTTGAGCGTGTTTATAGCCTTATCAGCATCTTGGATATTCTTGTAGTTCACAAAGCCATATCCTAAACTTTGTCCTGTTAAGTAATAATAAAAGATAATTGTAACATGTGTAATTACTATAGGACTGAAGTAAAACTATGAAGCTACCCTCCACTTTTGGTTCTTGTAGTTCTTCTCTTTTTTGTAAAGAAATGTATCTCACTGTCTAATATTTAATGTATCTGCTGTGATACCTCTCAACCCCTACCAACTAAAAGTAAAGGGTCAATTTCTGCAGAACACCATGAACTACAGTACAGTCTCTTGTATATCACTTGTCATTAAAAGTGATATTAAGTGAAACATGATGTTGTTAACAGATTTTTTCTGATATTTTCCATTTTTGGGGGGCATTAGATTTTTTGCCATTTTTTCTTTATATTCAAGTTCCAACTGACCCTATCCCCACCTCCCGCGATTTTCTGATACTGCAAGTATAATGATGCCTGAATTCAAAATGAGATTTCACTAATTTTAAGACTTAATGTACTATTAATAATATCAGCTATGCTTTATGTAAAATGAATAGCATACCTAAAGCTCCCCATCAGTGTACAGACTATGAATAATGCCAAACGAGCATAAAAATGAGAAATAATCCTGTGTTCAATATTGGGACTTTGTTTTTTCCCGACCAAGTAAAAGAAAAACAACTTTTTTTGGGCCTTACTTTTTAATTAGATTATAATTTATATAGAGGGAAACAGCATTAGGGTAATAAAACAAAGACAACAAGGTAAAAGGAATATACACTATTATAATTACGTGTCCATAAAAACAGGGAACCAATCAAGTCATGATCTAAACTCAAAACTTTGAAAAACAAGCAAATTCGTGGATATTATATCCCCCGCTTGCAGGACATATTGTAGGTAAACATTATTGAGGTAAGGTTTAAACATGAGAGTATTGTGCTGTTGAGACATAATTTAAACAACCTTATACCATATTAATAATCCGTAAATATGCACAAATCACATCGGTTGGCAAACTTAGCATGAGTCTGATGTGCATACGAAATTTGGTTGAAATATCTGCACAATATCTACAGCAATTATCACACGAAAACCAAAGAGTGCCCGAGATTGGTGGAAAGATGGAGGTACACAAACATTGTTATTAAGTTGGAAGGAATTTGGCTAATATTTGTTAGAGTTATTAAGCGGAAACTGCAGATAATGATGTTTTTAGTTGTCAAACTTGGCCGAGCCCTTAATGCGTTAGACCCTGTTACTACGTTTGAAGACAATCAGATAATATTTGCGAGAATTAATTGACAGAAACGACAGATAATGATGTTTTTCATTATTCAAGGGACCATAACTCCCCTAAATAAAGTTCGCTGAAAGTGGTCATCAAACTTGGTCAAGCTCTTAAGGCATTTAACCCTGTTACCAAGTTTGAAGAAAATCGGTTAACATTTGTTGCAGTTATAGCACGGAAACAAAGCGTGACAGACAGGCGGACAAACCCACATACCGATTTTTGTTGTCTTAAATTGTGTATTAATACAATAAAAACAATGAGAATTATCATATTCAGCATTTGTTTTCATTTTGTGATCAATATTTTGTTAATAATATTTATTAATTATTTATTAATAAATTATTGCAAGGATAACTGCATATCAAGATCCATTCTGTAAAATGTCACCTATGTTGATCGTTAACTTATTTATCCTTTTGCTAACCAAGTGTTATTTAATACACTGATAACGTAACAGCGCTGATGTTTGTTAATTTGTCGTACCTTCTATTAAGCGATGAGATGATGATTTAATATTTCTTTGTAATAACTGTATTCCGACTTTTTGTTTGTGTGACGCTGTGAATTCTTCCGGGTTATCTAAGGGCTTTACCATAAAGGCAAGTGGGCCATAACGATTTACATATTAAAGCGTTTTCATGAGCAAGACTACATGTCGAGAAAACAGGAACACCCCACAACTTTCATTTTTGACTTCCGACTAGATTCTCGCCTTTTGAAGATAACATTTCGTCGAGGTCAAATATAAAATTATTTTGAGAATATTTTGAATGCGAAACACAAAAAATTCTGCGTGTGCAGGTCACGTAAGGCAGTCAAAAACCTGTATGTGATTTATTTAAAATTTGCGTGAATGGGAACACTATATAGGCAATAGAGTTTCAAGACATTCAGGGTAAATTCATACCATCATATTTATTGATAATGCACCATTTAGCATCATAGAACACAAAACTTTTTGATGAAAAAAAAAAAAGAAAAGAAGAAGATAAAAACCCGCTGATTTTAGAATTTTAGAAGGTTCCTTCTTGCCTTTCAAAATGGCTTCCAGCTCCGTGTTGGCGCTAAATGTCATCATATGGAGCATAATTTGCCTCCAAATGAACCTTGTTTATGTAATTCATTGTTTTACATACAATAGTAGGGTCATAATCACATGGCATGCAACCCTAAACACACTATATTTTTTTTTGGCCTTATGTCAAATTTCTTTGTCCCCAAGGGTATGTTGTATAATACATGCATTATAAACGTTTACCCCTAAAATGTAAGCAAGCTCAAAAACATCTAATAGCCTTAATGGTTTAAAAATATGGCAGTTACAGTAACTGATGATAATAATATACAAAAGGTACAAAAATACTGAAATTTTGCCGAAAACTGAAGTAAATAGCAACCAATACAAAATAAAATTTACTTAGTCATAGAATGGAAATAGTTCTGATCAAGTACAACCATAGAATTATGTCCACAAATCAATAGCCTGGTTTATGCTAAACGAGAATTAACTGTACTGTGTACTCTAGTCATCAATATTAAATATTCCTCTATGAATGTTCCCCAATAATAGATTTCTCCTGGTGTTTGCAGTCACCTTAGCAACTCTTGTTTAGAAGTTGATGCATCAATGCTCTGTAAAACATAGCCTTTTTATGATCAATAATCATTATTGTCTGTACATCAGACTAACCTACTACCTGGTCAATCAGCGTTAACAATGCCAAGGTTCTAAGACAACAAACTAACCCATCACATTATGCTTTAAATAAATAAAAAATTCCTATAATTACATAGCTCTATAAATATTTCTCCACCCGGGAGCGTCTAGTTTCAAAACAAAATCAATGCAAATTAAATCCTTTATGGCTGCTTATTTATTGATTTATTGATTTTATCCAGCAAAAAATTGCCAATGAAAGTAGAATCATCAAACCGTATTGTTTAATTATGCTTTTTCCTGATCTCAATCCAACAGATTGAAATCAAATTTTTATTTCAATAAAGAAAATATTGAGACTTCAGTTTCGTTAATGTTCATTAAAATTACAATGCTTTAGAAAGTCAAAGGGAGTTCAAAATATTAATTAAATGAATCTAGAGTAATAATGCATGCAGGCATCATCAAAAGAAAACCCAAATATGACTAATATAACTAATATATTTTGATAGTCATCAAGAAGCACTTAGCTAGAATTTGTAATTACATGTGTTTAGTGTGTAATATCAGGGCATTATGTGACGAATGTGTCGACTATGTCAGATGCTATAAATATAACATATTTATTATATATATAGTGTAGCCTTTGTTTTGCTGTGGGTACACAATTAAAACACAAAACAGGCACACTACCAGGCCTACAGTGGCAGATACAGCAGAGAATGCTGAATGACCCATGTAAGATGTCTATACATCTGTTGCAATTAGTACAGAATTTTTGCCATAACAACAGCACTCCATGTGGCCTGGAGGTAATGCACCAGGCCTACAGCAGTGATAATTCTACATGAAGCTCAGCATTACAGGCATTCTGGGACTGTGTCTTCCTCATATTCTGTCATAAGCTGGTAAACATGCGAGATTATAGCCAATACACAATTAGCCCATTCCTGTACCAACGACACTGTTGGGATTATTCCAGGTGTGACCTTGTGTTTTACTGTTATATGGTGTAACACTTTCCATTACACACGAGTCCACTAATTTTATCAATGGTACAAAGTACTTTTCGTAGACATCAACAAATCAGCATTGATGTTTATCTCATTGGGACTTCAGTACTGTTTAATTACTGAAAATTGTCCTTACTGATTAATAAATAATGACTGTGAAGGTGGAAAGTAATATTTAATGTCCTGGACTGGCATAGGAAGTTAACCATGTCACTAGTCTGACATACCGGGCTAGTTAATTTTAACTCGGGGCTAGTGAAAAAATTTCATACCAGTACAAATCGACAAAATATATGGCAGGTTTGTAGAATTTTTCAAAATCTATCCATGGGCCAGTTTTCTTAATAATATGAAGCTGTACATCTCTGGGTATACTACGATGGACATACTTCATAGTTTGAATTTCAATGGAATACAAATTTGTGTCTTTATATGACCTTAGCAGTTGTGAGGACGTTTTGCAAATTTACCCATTTCTATCTAAACTCATATTTATAAATGATCTGATCAACAGGATTCAAATAATTTAGACGAGTAGTATTTTCAAGTAATAAACGGAATTACCAACCTGTGGGTTTGTCTCGAATCAACTTGCAACTTTCAACTTCTCCAATACTGGAAAACAACGCCCTGATTTCTTCCTGAGTCATTGTCTGAGGCAAATAGTTGACTATAAGGTTGGTCTTGCTAATGTTGTCATCCATTTGGGAGCCTGTAGATGACGGGGAAATAGTTCCTCCATTTTGATGAATCTGAATGTTAGCTGCATTGTTGTCCATACTCATCTCACAGGCCTGCGTTATCTGCCAAAGTAATAACAGAATAAATACTTTTGTCCAATACTTTTTCTCCATTCGCACAATTTCAATAAAAGATTTATTTAAATACTAACCTATTGTTCTTGATAGATTTCTTCACTTTTTATTGTTCTCCAAATAGATTATAACAGCTTGGTTATTAATAATATCCTATTGTTAATGTACATTGGAGATGCTAGTTGGAAAGAACTATTTGAGAGAAATCCGATGATATGCTATCGCTATTAATTTGCGTAAATAACATTTGTGAGGACATTTTTTATGGTAAATACATATTTTCTTTATACAGAACATCTTTTTCTTATTTTATGTTCTGAATCTCGGTATAAAGATAAAATTCACACCGGGAATCTCTATGAGCAAGATTTGTAACTTACAAAAATGGGTAATAAGCTATTAGGCATGGGGTAGATATGAAACCACACTCAAAGTTCATGTCAGTAATGCCACTTGGCGTACTAGAGTATGTTAGGGCTTTATCACCACATTTCAGTTTTAGCTCTACCTAATGCAAAGCCTCAATAGCAAATACAGAAAGATGAGATCATTCCACAACATGTTGAAAGGAGGCATGAACATCTGTTGGCAGAGAGGCCTGTGCTGAACTAATATACACTCCCATCATGTCAAGCACAATGAAATACACTCAAATATATTACACAGTCTATGTGTTTCGCCACTTTCAAAATTGAAACATATTATTTTAATCAAAAACTTAATTGACTTTCCTCATGAGAAGGCAATTTTATGTAGAGGTTGGAGTTAAACATTTATCAATGCATATATGAAACACAATCACTGGTATCCAACTTTTGATGAGACACAGTATAGTGCTTTGGTGAATCAAGTATATTCCCTCTGTAGATCCTTGTGATAAGAATTGAAATCCTGGCAAAATTTCCAATCAGACAGCAACATTCCAGCATATTTTTTTTAACACTTATTTTATTTTTGAAGCACACTGTTAGTGTACCATGCAAAATTAATCCAAGAAATTTCAATTCTTTGACTTGTTCACACAATATCTATACAACGCTCCTTTTGTGTGGTTTGAACAAACCATTCTTCCATTTATTACTACTATACATAGTTTAACTCATGTACTCTACAGTTGAACACAAATTAAAACAGAATCCAGAAAAAAATGAATACCTTAATTGTACTATAACTGGTATGTTCACAACTGTCTGGACATTTTAATTATCTAGATTTTCATACAATTAATTACAAGACAATACTTTTCTTTCATAAAATCATGGATATGTCCTATTCATCACAAAATTAAAATTTTCTCATGGGAATTTTTTAAACTTACTATATATCATAAATATCTTTTCATGTAAATTCCGAAAATTATTCTATGAATTTAAACAGAACAAATTTTTATTACAAAAGCCTAGAAGATGCTTTGTAATCCTACATCCTTCTCAACTGTCAAATACCCCTTTGTTATCCTACTGACATCAACAAAGACTATAAGTTTACAGCTAAATTTGTTAATAAAGAAATACTAACTAGTTTCTGCTGCTGTTGCAGAGCCATCATGTTGTTGAAGGAGATCATGATGCTTTTTCTTTGTTGGTCGTCAATTTTTGTGATCTGGTTTAAGCCGTTTTCAGGAAAATCTATAACAAACAAAAAGAATAGACAGTGCAGTTACACAGTATAAACACTGAATCACCAGAGAAAAATGGCAAAAAAATCACGAAAATTAATAATCAAAATTGTTATTACATACCTGCATTTGTTTAAGATCTGTCAAAAAACAAAAAAAAAGGAAAACCTAACGAAAAACTAAACAAAAGAATGTGATCTACTACACTGGCTGATTCAACAGACTGTCTGTCCCGGTCTCAGCAACGCATATGTGACAAGTAGCACATGACCTCGATAAATATTCTGCGGCAGGACACCACCTCCAGATGTTCCCATCAACCAATCAGCGAGTGCCCTGCTCTAGCGGCACGAGCCAGGGACTACCCATACACGAGAACAGAAGCTGTAAATATTTGATTATCTTGGGTCATCTATTCACTGAAATATGTACCGACCCGACACTATTTCCCAAATAAATTTTCATCAATTGTCAGATGGGTTAGTCCATTACGCCATGAAATCACCCCTTCAGTTTACACAATTTATAAATGCCTTGAAACGGAACAGGACAATCGCCTATCAGAATAACAAAAGATCACCGTAGGACCTACCAGCTTCATTCAAAGTTAGTGAATTCATGAACGACAGATGGTAGGTTTCCAACTAGAACACAAAAGGGAGTCCCCTCGGCAATGCATAGATAATTTGGTTACATTAACGCCCCAAAGTAGGTTTAGACTATACCTGCAATACATCTTGTAAACGTTCGTAGACCGATAGTTATGAAAATTTAGGCCTCCTCCAATACTTTATTGTGCATACATTAGATACAAATAACGTAGAATGTTTCTACATGAAGAATTAGATAGCGATACATGTTTTTTTCCGATAATTTGAAAACAAAAATTTAAATAAGATCTAGGGAGAAAACATTCAACTTTTAAAATCTACCTTGTAGCAAAATTTAAGAAAGACATACATCAAATGCTGATATCTTATGTGTAACCTTACATGCTTTCTTTTGGGAACGGACATGGTTGAATAAGCAAGCACATGGTCATTATTTGCCACGTGCCATTAAGCCGTAGCGCGTGGCATGTGGAATCGAGTGACCGACTGACAGTTCATTCATAAAACGTCGGCTGCTAGAGAAATTGGATGATAGGACTATTTTCGCACAAATATAATACGATACAAAAGTCTACACAAAATTATAAAATACAGCTTTTATTAATATTATGTTTATTTTAGCCCATGTTCCTAGTCAGAAGGATATATTTATTGTGAACCAGACTGACACTAGAAATCTGGAAGGATGCAATAATTTTCATCCATCTTCTCGTCGGCCTCTTCTGATACGACCTACACACAGCTACCAGAGCTAATAGTCTAGTTTAAAACGACTCAACACCATATTAACGAAACATTATCAACTCACCTTTTTTCAACCTTTAAATGGTATGTCCTGACACAAAACCGTTTTTTCTTGAAACATTAAACAAGTACTAAACGGAACGGTATCGGTACTATCCCAGCTTCTGAATCAGGTGATGGCGATATTCCTTCATAAACTGTCTACTTCTGGTTTACAGCACAAATTCCAGTTAGATTTCTTTGGAGATTAGCAAATCTGTTGTTCCGATTGATTAAAAAATCCACAAGAACCCAATAAAATCATAAACAGAAAATATCCGACGCTACAACACAAACCTAATCCTCAACCATCAGTGGCAGAACGAAAATAAACGCAAGAATATATCAAACTTAATTAAAAACGACGTCATGACCTAATTATCATAAAGCAAGAATTGAGGCGCATGTCTCTTCTAAGAATGCTCTAAAACATTTGCATATGCAACTGTAAAGCCTATCAAATCAATGCGCATACCTATTACTACAAAAAATAATGTTAAGATGGAATTATTTCTTGTCGCGTATGAATAATTTACTGATAATGTATGGAACATGCGGAACATGTGGCGGGAAGGATTGTCAAATAATTATGAAACTGTTATAGACAAGGTCCTTGTTAATCTATAGCATACTACATCTATGAACATGCTATTTATTTTTAGTTACTGTTGTATCTCTGTGATTAAATGTTACAGAAAATAGGTTAATATTGTCTCTTCGCGTGAAGCTGACAGGTACTCTGTTCAGCCGTGACGTCACGTTTTGTTATTTGAGGAATTGTGGGATATCAAACATGGCTGACAAGAAAGTAGACTCGGGTTTGTTTACAGTTGCTTAGAACCGAAATGCCATGTTGTGGTCATGCACATCTTTGCTGTGTTTCTACGAAATATCGGTTTCATTTATCTATAACATTAATTACAAGATAATTAGAAAAATCTACTCTTACTGTGATTTCTAAAATGTCAATGTAAAGTGTGCTGCACAGCATTTTTTCGAATGCTGGAAAGGCTGTGAAAGGATCGTTTTTCAAGTTTCTGTGAACATAAACCAACATAAATATTTGTCCTTGTTCATATACAATAAAAGCACATCACTTGAAATGGAATCCAAAACATGTAGTGATTCTGTTTGAATTATTCTTTTTCCTGTTGAAAGCAACGTTCACGTAAACAGACCACAGGTATCTGCCTCTAATTACGAGGGGTGGGGGTTACTATACACATAATGTAATATACTATGTCTAAAGTAGACATCTCCTTTTTTGAGGCATATACCTATAAACAGACAGGTCTGGTCGTCGATATTTTATCAGATATTATGATGCTGATTATTACAAGTCGTCTGTCAAAAAATTGAGCCATTTAGATGAACATATTGAGTACTTATAAATACTCTACTATGGATTCCAATATAAAGCGTTGGAATTTAAATGTTTGCTTTTCAATAAAAAAAGCTTAAAGTGTATTAAAAAAGCCAGAAATATATAAGATTTTTCTCATTGTAGGGAGCGAGTCTGACAGCACTGAAGAACCAGTGGTTGGAAATGTCAACAAGTTTGCAGTTGTTCCACCTGGTTACAATGGTCGACCAAAGAAAGGACATTTGATATTTGATGCATGCTTTGAGTGTGGTAAAATCAAACATTTGAACCATTAGATTAAATAGATATATGTATTCATATGCTTTTGGTAACGAACTAACACTCCATACCATTATCTACCCCATTCTAAAGATCTATTCTTTATGCACTAGGTGGTATCAATAACATGTTTCAAAGATCATTATGAACAGTATTTTCCAACGTTTTCTATACCAACCCATGTTTTTAATGGAAATTAGGGCATGAGCAATGTCACATGACTTGACGAGATCTCGCGTATTTCCCAACGTTATGACGTAGGCCGGCGAGATTTTAGTCACGTGGCAATAGAAGGCGGGGCTATCAAAAAACTAGAGTAAAATAGAGTAAGTTTGAAAAAATATGTTTTTAGTGATTGTATTGGTTGTTTGAGGCATGTAATTTATGTTCATCTTGTGCATAAAGAATAGACCTTTCGATCCATGTGCAACATGTGTGTGAAAGTGACGATTTGTTTCTAAACTATCAGTTTGAAGTGCGACCCGGGTGCCGGTCGCTCATTTCCCTCATATTATAGAGGGCAGGAGTTCTGACGTTAATCGACGACAGACCGATATAAAAAAAGTCAATAAATAGTCAGAATAATTTGGACAAACCCTATTCCTACTTGGTTTCTTACTTAAATCATACACATACATAGAATAATTTGGACTAACCCCATTCCTACTCGGTTTTCTTAGTTAAATCATACACATAAATGTACACATCTACTAAAAAGCTGAAATTATAAAGTCAAGCACTTTCTTATAGGTGTAATATCACTGGAAAGCAAGCTAAAGAGGCTTGTGTTGATGTCTCTAGAAATTTCTCTTTTATTAATGGTACATTTTCATTGGTGTGTGCACAGCATCCACTAGAGTTCACAATGAGTTTGAAAGTAGCACTAAATACAGTGTACTTGCATCACATACAAACAGATAAACTTAGAATTGTAGTTATAGTCCATTGGGAATGAAGTTTATTTTTAAAGATTGTTCCCACTATCTACATAGACCACTTTTGCACTCTTCCTTAAATTTACCATTCAGTAATACTAGGTATATATAGCTTCTGTTGTATTCATACAATAAAGTTTGTTGTACAAATTATTCCTAATGCTGTGAATAGGCATTTTTTATTCCTGTCGTTCATGTTGTTCTGTACTTACCTGTACCATGCTAGCTCTGTCACATTTATACTCCAGCTTTGGCAGTCAGCGTTGTCTGATACAGTCGGGATAGGATAAGCCAATAATCCTTTCAGATGCTTTCCTTCGGATATTTTCTGCTGTTTTAACATCCTTTCTAAGAGGGGTGAATATAAGTAGAATAGCATTAAAGGTGAGATCTGAGTATGTACTACTTGTAGGATGTTGTACAGAGTGAGGACTGTGCACTGGTTTATGAATGTGAAAGTTCTAAATATGATGTCCCGCACACAGTTTCTCTTGAGTCTGTTGATACATTAACTTTGATGAAGGTTACTACGATGTCCTGCACAGTTTCTTTCGAGTCTGTTGATACATTAACTTTGATGAAGGGTACTACGATGTCCCGCACACAGTTTCTCTTGAGTCTGTTGATACGTTAACTTTGATGAAGGTTACTACGATGTCCCGCACACAGTTTCTCTTGAGTCTGTTGATACATTAACTTTGATGAAGGGTACTCCCAAGTCTTTTTTGCCTTAGTTGAGATGTTGGGTAACTATTTTATTCAAAACCATAATGGTCAAACTCTTTTGATCTCATATTTCTGTATGTTAAAATATTTTTGTAGGTTCAGTTTCATAAGCCATTTGTCTATCCAGGCACTTCATATTTGATTGCCGTTTAAAGTTCTATTTTGTCCTCAGCAATTGATCTGCTTAAGTAGATTTTCATGCCATCTGCAAAAAAAATCATAATATAGTCAATGTTACTAGGTGTCATTCCTCATGTAAACCAGAAACAGAATCAGTCTGGAGATATTCCTTAGGGTGACATCAGTGGTCTGTATGCTTGGTGCTTAGCTGTTGATGACAAGTTGTGATTTCAAGTTGCAGAGGTATCATCAAATCCATTTGTGAACCTTTTTTTTTTTATGTTATTCCTTATGGTGACATTAGGATAAAGTGTGAAAACCTGTACATTATGATTATCTGTGAAACTGACACTACATACAGTTGACTGTCCTAAAATGTGGCAATGTTTGATCCACTCTCAGAAGTCCTCAGTAATGTTTGATCCACTCTCAGAAGTTCTCAGCAATGTTTGATCCACTCTCAGAAGTCCTCAGTAATGTTTGATCCACTCTCAGAAGTCCTCAGTAATGTTTGATCCACTCTCAGAAGTCCTCAGTAATGTTTGATCCACTCTCAGAAGTCCTCAGTAATGTTTGATCCACTCTCAGAAGTCCTCAGTAATGTTTGATCCACTCTCAGAAGTCCTCAGTAATGTTTGATCCACTCTCAGAAGTCCTCAGTAACGTTTGATCCACTCTCAGAAGTCCTCAGTAACGTTTGATCCACTTTTAGAAGTTCTCAGTAACTTGGAAGTCGGTTACAATTTAAAATGCATCGCATGAATGCTACAGTATGAGTAGAAATATTTGAAAATGTGGTAATGACATTACCTGGTAAGTCCTTTTGGTACGACTTGGGTATGACAGAGATACAGTTATGTTTCTAACTGTTAAACTAATGGTACACAAATAAAGGTTACTTACTGTCTTTAACATATATTTTATTAAAAAAACACACATATCTTTAAATTGTTCGAAGTTAACTTCTATATCATGCATATGAATACTTAGGCCAGACAAAAAAATATATGTGTTTTCTGTATAAATGTGTTGGACACCAAATATTTTTTGTTTGGCCTTAAAGTGTGATTCAGGTTTGTTCAATATTTCTGTTTAAGGATGTTAAAAGCCACAGCAACGAAATTTTATTTCATTTCTGATGTTTTGAATTACTGACTTGTTACAAAAAATAATACCGTATCTCAGTAAATTCTAATCATTGTATCATTAGATGCTTCCTTGGCAATAGCTATATATAGGTGAGAGTAGTTTAAATATGACAAGAGTATGCTTAACATTGATGAGGCAATTGCAATAGAACAATACACACTCCTACAGTTTCTAATATTTCCTGATAGTACGGCTCATTTTGTATTGCATTGTTTTCCAGGGAACCTTGGACGAGTTGACTACATCACAGAATACGAATATGATCTGTTTATACGACCCGATACTTGTAATCCAAGATTTAGAGTATGGTTCAATTTTACAGTGGAAAATGTCAAGTCAGACCAGGTAAGTAAATTACATTTAGGGCCCCACATCAGATATTCGTGCATAAATGTTGCTTGCGATCCATTCATTATAAAAGAATGAAACCTAATGTATATTTCACAACTCTGTGTATGATGTAAACAGAGTGTTGTCTCTATTCGGGTATTCAGTCCCAGTAAATTATAAACCGTCAATTCGGTTAACTACATTTGAATACAAACCGATTATCAATTATGGTTTTAAACCAACCGCCATCACTAGTTATACCTATAAAATTGTTCACAAATAACGTGCCATGAACTGTATACAAAAATCATTGTAATAAAATTTTGTTCCATCGCTTTCATTATTATAGTAAAATATCATGAATTGACAAATAGTGATTTTCTTTTTGATTTTCTTCAGTGTTAATGTTTTTTTAGGATGAATGAAGGTAGCATAATAGTTTTCAAATACATTTAGAAAAGTTGAATGTATTCTTCTTTTTCAGAGAGTCATCTTTAATATTGTCAACTTTAGTAAAACTAAGTCACTCTACAGAGATGGTATGTCACCCATGGTCAAGTCAACGAGTCGGCCAAAATGGTAAGACTTCTGTGCAGGTAATTTCAGTGTTTGTAGTTTATATAGTCAGTTGCTGACCTCTATAAAACCACAGAGGATCAGAATGAAATTTTACCGGGTCAGTGGTGTAGTCTGAGCATCCTATACAACAGAATGTCTAGGGTTCTTTACAGGGTCAGTGGTGTAGTCTTAGCATCCTATACAACAGAATGTCTAGGGTTCTTTACAGGGTTAGTGGTGTAGTCTGAGCATCCTATACCACAGAATGTCTAGGGTTCTTTACAGGGTCAGTGGTGTAGTCTGAGCATCCTATACAACAGAATGTCTAGGGTTCTTTAGAGGGTTAGTGGTGTAGTGTGAGCATCCTATACAACGGAATGTCTAGGGTTCTTTAGAGGGTTAGTCGTGTAGTGTGAGCATCCTATACAACAGAATGTCTAGGGTTCTTTAGAGGGTCAGTGGTGTAGTCTGAGCATCCTTTACCACAGAATGTCTAGGGTTCTTTACAGGGTCAGTGGTGTAGTCTGAGCATCCTATACCACAGAATGTCTAGGGTTCTTTAGCGGGTTAGTAATTGAATGTAGAATGACCTGTTACATTCAGAACCTTTTTTGTCTGAAATGAAAAAAAACGTTTAGAGCTGTCCCATTGTGATCCCAGTAATTCACCAAATAGAAGTGTATTGAATTCCTAAAATGGTCCTGCCTCCTGCTAAGTAATCATTAAAACAATTGACAGGTTTTTATGGCCTTTTGAGTCCTTATTGATGTTTTTGCCTGCAGCTTTGCTGTTGTTGTCTACCCAAATGGCTCCATATTTAGTCATTGAAAATATGTGTGGCTACTTTCATTATGATTTTAAGTTTCATACATACAAAGTTACCTGCAAAAGATATTGAAAGTTCCCTGTAAATGCACATAGATAATTTCTTATGTTCCTACATATGTGGAAAGTTTTCTGGAAAATACGAGTGAAAGTTCCCTGTAAATACACATAGATAATTTCTTATGTTCCTACATACATGGAAAGTTTCCTGTAAATACACATGGATAATTTCTTATGTTCCTACATACGTGGAAAGTTTTCTGTAAAATACGAGTGAAAGTTTCCTGTAAATACACAAATAGATAATTTCTTATGTTCCTACATACATGGAAAGTTTCCTGTAAATACACATAGATAATTTCTTATGTTCCTACATACGTGGAAAGTTTTCTGTAAAATACGAGTGAAAGTTTCCTGTAAATACACATATAGATAATTTCTTATGTTCCTACATACATGGAAAGTTTCCTGTAAATACACATAGATAATTTCTTATGTTCCTACATACGTGGAAAGTTTTCTGTAAAATACGAGTGAAAGTTCCCTGTAAATACACATGGATAATTTCTTATGTTCCTACATACGTGGAAAGTTTTCTGTAAAATACGAGTGAAAGTTCCCTGTAAATACACATGGATAATTTCTTATGTTCCTACATACGTGGAAAGTTTTCTGTAAAATATGAGTGAAAGTTCCCTGTAAATACACATGGATAATTTCTTATGTTCCTACATACGTGGAAAGTTTTCTGTAAAATACGAGTGAAAGTTCCCTGTAAATACACATGGATAATTTCTTATGTTCCTACATACGTGGAAAGTTTTCTGTAAAATACGAGTGAAAGTTCCCTGTAAATACACATGGATAATTTCTTATGTTCCTACATACGTGGAAAGTTTTCTGTAAAATACGAGTGAAAGTTCCCTGTAAATACACATGGATAATTTCTTATGTTCCTACATACGTGGAAAGTTTTCTGTAAAATACGAGTGAAAGTTCCCTGTAAATACACATGGATAATTTCTTATGTTCCTACATACGTGGAAAGTTTTCTGTAAAATACGAGTGAAAGTTCCCTGTAAATACACATGGATAATTTCTTATGTTCCTACATACGTGGAAAGTTTTCTGTAAAATACGAGTGAAAGTTCCCTGTAAATACACATGGATAATTTCTTATGTTCCTACATACGTGGAAAGTTTTCTGTAAAATACGAGTGAAAGTTCCCTGTAAATACACATGGATAATTTCTTATGTTCCTACATACGTGGAAAGTTTTCTGTAAAATACGAGTGAAAGTTCCCTGTAAATACACATGGATAATTTCTTATGTTCCTACATACGTGGAAAGTTTTCTGTAAAATACGAGTGAAAGTTCCCTGTAAATACACATGGATAATTTCTTATGTTCCTACATACGTGGAAAGTTTTCTGTAAAATACGAGTGAAAGTTCCCTGTAAATACACATGGATAATTTCTTATGTTCCTACATACGTGGAAAGTTTTCTGTAAAATACGAGTGAAAGTTCCCTGTAAATACACATGGATAATTTCTTATGTTCCTACATACGTGGAAAGTTTTCTGTAAAATACGAGTGAAAGTTCCCTGTAAATACACATGGATAATTTCTTATGTTCCTACATACGTGGAAAGTTTTCTGTAAAATATGAGTGAAAGTTCCCTGTAAATACACATGGATAATTTCTTATGTTCCTACATACATGGAAAGTTCCCTGTAAATACACATAGATAATTTCTTATGTTCCTACATACATGGGACAGTTTTCTGTAAATATGAGTGGAAAGTTTCCTGTTTTACTGAACACCAAAACATACTATAACAACTAATGACTAGAAACAAAACCTGGTTCATACAAGTAGTTAACGTTCAATGTACTATGGTTGTATTTCGCAGGTCAAAATTTTGTTTGCAGTCTTGTTTCAGAAAAAAAATAGTTTAATTCGTGTTACGTTAATATTAACTTATAGATCTAACTAACTATCAGATGGACTAACAAATTTTGGGGGTTATATTTTCTGTATGATTTTTCAGACTGAATATGATTTATTCTGTGTGAAGTAGAAAGTGGTATACATCAGCCTGACATGACTTAAAATGACAGTTATAAAGAACACTGGTTCAGTGTTGTTTGTGGTTGGTTAGTGAGGTTTATATGTGATGCCGGTTTAACTGTTATTTGTGCCTAGAATTGTAAATGCTGTTAGTTTGACTGTTGTTTATATTTGTATATCATGAGAGTTATATTAATACATAAATTTGTATGTGATGAGAGTTACAATTCATGGTTTGACACTGGTATTGTCATTGTAGGGTGAGAATACCAGCCAAGCATGTGTATTATTACCGCTGCCCTGACCACAGAAAAAACTATGTGATGTCGTTCTCGTTCTGTTTTGACCGTGAGGATGATGTGTATCAGTTAGCCTACTGCTACCCGTACTCCTACACTCGACTACAGAACTACCTCGACAACTTGGAAAAGAAAAATATGGACTTCTTCTCAAGGGAACTGCTGTGTCTCACAGTTGTAAGTTATAAAGCAATGTTTTTAGGTTGCGAGTGGTGTTTTATTGGAATGTAGAATGTAGATTAATTAATCAACTGAGATATAAGCATTTATTTATATACAAGGTATATATCCAATATTCTACCACAATATGCTGTGTTATTTCATTCTCAGATCATTGTATAAACATGCAGTCTGTTAGATAAATATGAGTTATACACCAAACGTGGTATATGATCTTCCAGAGTTTTGATTGGTCGAGAAGATGAACTTTGACAAGGACAACTTTTTCCACACGCTTTTTGCCACATGCTGTTTTGTTTACATCGTTTGCTGTCAACATCAGGCAAATGTTGGTGACGTTGTGAGGTTATGCAATGGGGAAAAGGGGGTTATTCAGGCAATATGAAAAGAAGATGATACTTAAAGATTTGATCGCTAGTTTCAGGCAAAATTGCTACAGACGCTAGATATCGTTTCGACGTCACACCGTCGCGTGTCCAGGTCGTGAAACCAAAACATGATCTGTCACAGTGTCGGAAAATATTTCTTTCTCCCAACGTCCCGTTTTTGCTATTTGGAGGGTCTGACTTTGGCTGAACTTTCACTATAAACGTCAACCATAGAACCATCACGAAGAAACGTCCCAGGCCTTTTGTTTTGGACATTGATAGCGATTAGTTAGCTTCATCACTTGGCGGGAGGCAGACTTTGTATGATATGCATACGTGCATATAGTCTGCGGTTAATTTATATAATAAATGCAGTACTGCATACTCCCAATACTTAAAGACGTTCGTCTACTATATTTTTTCATGAAGTTGTTGCCAAAACATTTATTTTGACAATTATTAAATTTGTAAAAAAATGAAGTCATTTTTGAATATTAATGAGTGACTTTTTACATATGGGTCATATCACTACGCCAGCCTTGTCAACAAACACATGTGTGTATGTTATTCAAATCAGGTCACACTCCAGCTGTTTCCGACTGAGATTGTGGTAGAAACAGATCACACGACTAGTGATTGTTGAGCATGGTATTTGTTTCACGCTCATTAGTTAATTTTCAAAAGTTACAGAAAGATACTCGCTAAAGCTTGTTTCTTTTGTAACTTTGAAAATTAACTAACTCGAGTGAAATAAATACCATATTCAACAACCACTCGTTGTGTAACCTGTATTTAATGCATTGCTAGTACATGAAACATAGTTGAAAGAAACAATATATTTGATATTTACTTTGTTAACAAACAAAATATACTAAAACTTATCAGATATCCTTTATAATATGATCTTCAGTGATATTAAAACCAACCCCTTATCGATGAGTAACAATATTTACAAGGGGCCTAGATCTAATAAAATGTCTAATATTTCAATGTGTGACATCAGTATTATTATGTGATTTAATTCCAGTTAATAGAACTGCTAGCCCTTACACTGACGTTTTATATATTGAATCTTGTTATCATTACAGCAACAACGTCGCCTGGACATGATCACCATCACTCATCCAGATAACCTAGAAATGGACGAAACCAAGCATACTGTGTTTGTCACTGCCAGGGTCCACCCAGGAGAAACTCCTTCCTCTTTTGTCTGTCAGGGTATGTCAGTGTTAGAGTCCCCACCCAGGAGAAACTCCTTCCTCTTTTGTCTGTCAGGGTATGTCAGCATTAGGGTCCCCACCCAGGAGAAACTCCCTCCTCTTTTGTCTGTCAGGGTATGGCAGTGTTAGGGTCCCCAACCAGGAAAAACTCCCTCCTCTTTCGTCTGTCAAGGTATGTTAGTGTTAGGGTCCCCACCCAGGAGAAACTCCCTCCTCTTTTGTCTGTCAAGGTATGTCAGCGTTAGGGTCCCCACCCAGGAGAAACTCCATCCTCTTTTGTCTGTCAAGGTATGTCAGCGTTAGGGTCCCCACCAAGGAGAAACTCCCGCCTCTTTTTTCTGTCAGGGTATGTCAGTGTTAGGGTCCCCAACCAGGAGAAACTGCCTCCTCTTTTGTCTGTCAGAGTATGTCAGTGTTAGGGTCCCCACCCAGGAGAAACTCCCTCTTCTTTTGTCTGTCAGGGTATGTCAGTGTTAGGGTCCCCAACCAGGAGAAACTGCCTCCTCTTTTGTCTGTCAGAGTATGTCAGCATTAGGGTCCCCACCCAGGAGAAACTCCCACCTCTTTTGTCTGTCAGGGTATGTCAGCGTTAGGGTCCCCACCCAGGAGAAACTCCCTCCTCTTTTGTCTGTCAGAGTATGTCAGCGTTAGGGTCCCCACCCAGGAGAAACTCCCTCCTCTTTCGTCTGTCAAGGTATGTCAGCGTTAGGGTCCCCACCCAGGAGAAACTCCCTCCCCTTTTGTCTGTCGGGGTATGTCAGTGTTAGTGTCCCCACCCAGGAGAAACTCCCTCCTCTTTTTTCTGTCGGGGTATGTCAGCGTTAGGGTCCCCACCCAGGAAAAACTCCCTCCCCTTTTGTCTGTCGGGGTATGTCAGTGTTAGGGTCCCCACCCAGGAGAAAGTCCCTCCTCTTTTTTCTGTCAGGGTATGTCAGCATTAAGGTCGCCACCCAGGAGAAACTCCCTCCTCCTTTGTCTGTCAGGGTATGTCAGTGTTAGGGTCCCCACCCAGGAGAAAGTCCCTCCTCTTTTTTCTGTCAGGGTATGTCAGTGTTGTGGTCCCCACCAAGGAGAAACTCCCTCCTCTTTTTTCTGTCAGGGTATGTCAGTGTTGTGGTCCCCACCAAGGAGAAACTCCATCCTCTTTTTTCTGTCAGGGTATGTCAGTGTTGGGGTCCCCACCAAGGAGAAACTCCATCCTCTTTTTTCTGTCAGGGTATGTCAGTGTTGTGGTCCCCACCAAGGAGAAACTCCCTCCTCTTTTTTCTGTCGGGGTATGCCAGCGTTAGGGTCCCCACCCAGGAAAATCTCCCGCCCCTTTTGTCTGTCGGGGTATGTCAGTGGTAGGGTCCCCACCCAGGAGAAACTCCCTCCCCGTTTGTCTGTCGGGGTATGTCAGTGTTAGTGTCCCCACCCAGGAGAAACTCCCTCCTCTTTCGTCTGTCAAGGTATGTCAGCGTTAGGGTCCCCACCCAGGAAAATCTCCCTCCCCTTTTGTCTGTCGGGGTATGTCAGTGTTAGTGTCCCCACCCAGGAGAACCTCCATCCTCTTTTGTCTGTCAGGGTATGTCAGTGTTGGGGTCCCCACCAAGGAGAAACTCCATCCTCTTTTGTCTGTCAGGGTATGTCAGTGTTGTGGTCCCCACCAAGGAGAAACTCCATCCTCTTTTTTCTGTCAGGGTATGTCAGTGTTGTGGTCCCCACCAAGGAGAAACTCCATCCTCTTTTTTCTGTCAGGGTATGTCAGCGTTAGGGTCCCCACCCAGGAGAAACCCAGTTTGTCTATGGAAGTGTTTTGTCTGTCAGGTTTTGATAGTTATTATTTAGTGTTAGTGATTTGTCTGTCAGGTTTTGATAGTTATTATTTAGTGTTAGTGATTTGTCTGTCAGGGTTTGTCAATGTTAGTGTTTTGTTTGTCAGGGTTTGACCTGGCAGTATTTTGTCTGTTAGGGTTTGTCAGTGTAAGTGTTTGTTTGTCAGTGTTTGTCAGTATCAGAATTTTGTCAAGGTATGGCTATTTTAGGGCTGCCATATTTTTGTTTGTCTGGGTATGTCAGTGCAAGCTCGAGGGTCCTATCAGTATATGGTGTTACAAGTGACAGTGAGTAGATACTACATAAACAGGAAGATCCACTCGTGAGTTGTTAGCGTGAAGTGGTCCAATCCACTGACGAATCCCTTAGACCTAGTATGGCATTGGAGTGGTAGAGTTAATTGATATAACAGCCTTGTTCTTTTGATTTGGATGTTCTGATATAAGATTTATACATGTATCCTTTCAAATGATACCTATGTCATAATCAAAATCAATGTTACATGCAAATAAAGGATATTCAATCAATATCAGTCAGAAAAATATTGTTTGATAGATTCCCATTTTGCTAATAGTATAGCATGGTCATAAATAAGCACATCAAGATGACCCAAAACACGACCAAATTTTCCTGCTACATCACTAAATACATAGTATATATATTTATCTAAACTACATAAACAGTGTTTTTTTTGTTGATTTGAAAAATCCAATGATTGATTCTCCACAATATGAAAGACCCTTGGCTCTGTATCTAGTCCCAAAGGGTATGAGATGACTGAGATCAAAAAAAACCCACAACACTTTTCCTTCTAACTAGAGTAGCGACATGCTTTAATCTATGTCTGTGTTAACATTACACAAGTTCTCTTTGTGCCAGTGATCAATACAAACCTCGTCATAATCCTACACAGTGATGGCTGTAATGGAACTGGAATAGCTTTCTCACTATTTTTTGTTCAATCATTGTGACCTAGATAAAGATTGATGGTTAGGGTAAGATTTGAGAGATCATAAATTTGATGTCTTTTCCAGACCATGTTTTTTCTACCAACACAAAAAGAAACCCCCAAAAAACCTGACTTGTAACTTCCAATTTTCAAAGTCCCCTGGAGTCCAGGCATCCCTTCTTTAAATTTGTTTGAACTGTGGAAGAAAGTCAGACAAAAACTATATGAAAGAGAAATGTGAAGAAATGAATCATTTACTGGGGACTTGGTTTACTTCTGTATTGATAAAGTTGTTTGTCTCAGTTCTGCTTTGATCGGAATGATTTATCTGTATTGATAAAGTTGTTTGTCTCAGTTCTGCTTTGATCGGAATGATTTATCTGTATTGATAAAGTTGTTTGTCTCAGTTCTGCTTTGATCGGAATGATCTAAAACTAAATAGGATGTGTTGTCAAATGTGTATTGCCAACCTGTAATCTACTAAAGTTTTTGGTTAGACATGTGGTAGTGGTTAGAGAGATATTGAATGAGACATATAAAGCATTGGTTAGAAATGTTGGATACCATGATTGTAATTAAGAGTCTTGTGTGGGTTTTTACTTGTTTAAATTTTATATTGGTTTGAAAAAATCATGTGGATTTATATTTTGCTGATTGAAGTTTGAATGGTGTCTGGGGTTGTACGTATTGATCTAAGCCTGCTGTTAGGTTTACTCACTTAAACTTTGGCTGATATTTGTATTTTCAGAAATTAATTAACCTCATGTGTTTTTTTTCAGGGTTGATTGACTTTTTAATTAGCAATCATCCAATAGCAAAGGTCTTACGAGAACATATTGTGTTTAAAATCGTCCCGATGTTGAATCCCGATGGTGTGTACCTTGGAAATTACAGGTGAGTATGATTAGGGTCTGACACATATTCCCTAGAGAGGTAGCCAATTTTCACCTTATTGATTACTTGCTTGTAATTACTTGAACAGATTCATGTAATTTAAAATTTCTGCAATATTTGATTTTGTGAAAATATTGTGAAGGCTTAAGAAGAAACACAGGGAGAATGAGGAAATCAGAATTCACATTTAATTTGTAAAAAGCTTTTAGAATCGTCTGCTTTAGTTCCATGAGGTGCCAGGTCATGATTTCCAGACCAGTAGTGTAAAGCTATTCTTAGTCCTTGGATCATAAATTTAAGATGATTAATATTCCCATCATATTACCAGATTAATGCTTGCTAGGCATAAAAAAAAACACAATCATATGCTGACCTCAACAAGATTTGCTATGAAGCATCCTTGGGTCCAGGGATTGAGGCCAATGAGAATATTTGCCCTGATAACTTAAATGTTCAGCCTTCTGGGCGCTTGTTGTAGTCTGTACTGATGTCTTACTTTGTAACATGGACCAGTGTTTTTAGTAGTCAACTTGTGTAATACTTATTTGATTTGTAAAGGTCAGTGAGTTTCTGTTGTACAGGTGTTTACATTGTACCGTCTGTTACTTTACTTCTATGTTTTCTAGGTGCTCGTTGATGGGTTTTGACCTGAACAGACATTGGCTGGAACCCTCGCCCTGGGCACACCCAACATTGTACGCCACAAAAAATGTCCTCATGGAGCTCGACAGGAACGAGGTACTAACAGCAAACAAACTGTCACCCACAGAATATAAAACATATGTCAAGGCTTCATTGTTATTCAAAAGGACTGAAGTAGTCAGTCTCCATCAATTAAATAAGGTGTGTGTGTGTGTGTGTGTGGGGGGGGGGGGGGGGGGGGGGATGATGTTTATACATTATCTGTTCTTGAATAAGTCTAAGTTTTTGTCCAGCTCTGAGAGTTGTTCAACAGTTGTGAAACAGGGGCTGAGGTGGCCAAGTGGTTAAGGCGTCTGACATTCTGCTACCACGAGGCCTCCACCACTGGGTCGCGGGTTCGAGGCCTACAGGGGGCAGGCACCAGCTACTGGTCGTAGGTCGGTGGTTTTTCTCTGGGAACCCCGGCTTTCCTCCACCACCAAAACCTGGCACGTCCTTAACCATAGCTGTTAATCAGACATAAAACACAAACAAACAAACAAAAATGTCCAACACTTGAGTATGTACGGAATATGGATCACAATTTCATAGTTATGGTTATCACTATCATGAACTTAATCTCCAGATTTACATGTATGTAATATCAGGAGACATTTGTCCAGGTCAAAAAAGTTTAATGTCTACATACAATCTTGTGTTCAGTCAATAACTTTTAGTTAACAATGAAATTATTAAGTATATTCATCTTCACTAGATGTTATGTATGTGTCTGTATGTGCATGCATGACGCTTTCATGACCTTAATCCTTGTGTTATAAAGGAATAACATTGACTGGGAGGTGATGTATGGAACTTCTGTTGCTTTGCTACAATTAAGTTATTGTTCCTCAAAATATCTAGAGTTCCCTCAGGTCAGTCTTGGTCTTACTTCAAACATCTAGCTTTCTTGTTTAGAGTTAACTTTTCAAGTTCAAGGAAATTCACCATAATGAATTGGTAAAAGATAATTTTTATCAGATTATTAATATTCAAGCCATATACTCCCACAATGTTTAACAGTGAGAGAATCAGTGTCAATAAGCAGAATCTTGTTGAAGATGCGGCTATGGAGTTTTGTGTTGTTTCTAGAATAAACATATATATTAGAGTACATTAACTGGTAACACAGCTGTACTAGTGATGTTTGTTACTTGACATGTTACAGAAGGTCCTAGTGGACTTCTACATAGACATACATGCCCACTCTACGCTGATGAACGGGTTTATGTACGGCAACACTTACGACGACATTGACCGGTACGAGCGACAGTCTGTCTTCCCCAAATTACTTTGTGCCAATGCTGAGGATTTCTCCCTGGCCAACACAAACTTTAACAAGGATGCGGTGAAGGCCGGTACTGGTCGCAGGTAAATACACATATATTCTTGGTTGTGTTGTTAGTAATAGCCATTGTTGTCGTTGTGTTAAATATATATAGGTTATTGTGAATATTGAAACAGTTCAGTGGTTTTGGTACACAAGAAATTAGGGATAGTTTGTATCCAGTGGAAAATATTGTGCAGGGGACATACAGGCCTTGAAAAGGTTTTTAAGACTATTGATTCTCTTAAAAAGCCCAAAAATTGATGAAAAGGTCATTAAAACCCTTACATTTAACAAAAGTGTCTTGAAAGGGTCAAATTCAGATTTTGATTTGACTAAATGATCATTAAACTATGGTTGTATATTAATTTTGGTGGTTTTGTGGAGCTATTTTCATAAAAATGAATTGTTGTAAGAAAATATAAGAATATGAAATATTTGTTACAAGTTAATTTCTTGATTTTTGGAAAACAGACCAGTGTTAGATTTTAGTGTTGTTTGGTGTGTATATGGTGAGTTTAGAGCCATCCACTCTCCACATCTCTGTATTTTGAGAATTTGGAAATTAAATGGCATAAGATTTTAGGCCATATTTTTACATGAAAAGACCCTAAAAAGCCTTGAATTTCATAGTAAAATTCCTGTAGTTGGATTTGTGCACTCAGTAATCTCTTGTTTGTAAACAGTTTTTTTCTTAATCGTTTACTAGTGCATCAAAATAATTTGAGCTAAAAACATCCAGTATCTTGTCAGCTGACATATTTATGTCATTAAATTATCATTTTGATCAACGCAATAGGATATCTTCTGCTAAAACACCTTCAGCAACTTAATTCTCTTAATGGAAATATATATCATTAAACAAACCTTTATACAGACTACTTCATCTAGATAATCCACTACAGTAAAAATGCATACCGACATCCCACAATGAAGTTAGGAGCTACTCTGTCATCAGGTGGTTCTGGATCTTCTAATACGATCTTGTCCGAGCCATACCTTTTAAACCATTTAAGATTATTGATAAAACTTGCAATATAACTGCATCACCTACAGATGATGTGCGATGCAGTTTCATTAGGTCACTGTGGCCTTGACCTCAAGGTCTGATTATTTCAAACTTTAAAAGGTTAACGTCAAGGTGATGCCATCGGTCCCTCACTGTGTCTAGTTTTGCTGAAAGTTAGTATGCAAGTACATGTTTATGATCATTATGATGGCATTTTATACTCTATCTAAGTATCATGACTATGGAGTCAGTTTTGAGGAATTCGTAATGGTCCCCATCACAATTAGAACTTGTTCATAAATGCATTTTATAAGTTAACAGTAGACAGTTTCTCTAACAATAAGGTCAAATAAGTGTTAAGTTTAAAATATACTGAGGATATCCTCAAGGTCAAAGGTCATATAGGTGCAAAGTTTTCAGGAATATCTTGTCTGGGCTGTACCTTATAAACTGTTGTTCACCAAAACAAATCTCTAGTTTCTATTGGAGTTTTACCAATGTGCTAGCCAAATTTTGTCCAGACAACTCCGACGACGGCTTTGATGGAAGTTTTGTGAAATGCCACAGATATCATCACCATATTTGGATATTGTGCATCTGTGTGTATATTTTCAATTAGTTTGTTTCTATGGAAGTAATGCCCCTGTCACGAAATCCTTAGCCAGTTTTTCTAATTCGGAATAACATATATACTTTTTGCAGAATAATGCTCATCAAACCTTTTACAACATACTTTGATGAAAGTTTCTTAGCACTGTCATAACTTGGTACAATTGTACATTGAAAGTGACTTTTTTTCATCATTTCAGCAGAGCAGTTAAATAATTATCCTGTACTGTAGAGGGGTTAAATAATTAGCCTGTACAGTAGAGGGATTAAATAATTAGCCTGTACAGTAGAGTGATTAAATTATTAGCCTGTACAGTAGAGGGATTATATAATTAACCTTTACAGTAGAGGAGTTAAATAATTAGCCTGTAAAGTAGAGGGGTATAATAATAATCCTGTACAGTAGAGGGGTTTAATAATTAGAGGTTATTATATGACCATTTTGATATCATATCCCTTATAAGCCAGAGAGTTCCGATATCATCCCGAGGGGTCAAAGGCCCCGAGGGCTGATATCGGGACTGAGGGCTGATAAGGGATATGATATCAAAATGGTCATATTATAAACTTTTTGTCATGTGTTCAACTCCGACGTCCGACTCCGTTTTCTGTGAGTGTTTGTGTTTTTCATACTTTTGACGAAGTTCTCCGTGTCCTCGTCACAACCGAACCTTGCACTCTTCTCCGCATTTTCCTTATCAATGAGGTCATCCAGTTCAAGTATTCTAGGCGCTAGAGAACTAAGTATTTCCTCTCCCTGGTTTGTTGACATTTTGTTTGTTGACATCTGCTCAACACACTGTCTAAGCCAAAAAAAACACCTGACAGCGCAAATCCGGATTTTACTCGGAACGCTTCGGGCGCTTCCCATATCCAATACAGAAGTAGAGGTGTTCCGAACAGGGGGTGCATTAAAAGAATTGTTATCGCATGGGGGGGTGCATTACGAGAAACTTATCACACGGGTGACCGGAAGTGGTATAATAAGAATCCTGTACAGAAGAGGGGGATACTAAGAATCCTATCCAGTAGAAGGATATTAAGAGTATCTTGTATAGTAGAGGGGTATAATAAGTATACTTTACAGTAGAGGGGTATAATAAGTATCCTGTACATAAGAAGGGTATAATAATTAGCCTGTAAAGTAGAGGGGTTAAACAATTAGCCTGTACAGTAGAGGGATTAAACAATTAGCCTGTACAGTAGAGGGATTAAATAATTAGCCTGTACAGTAGAGGGATAAAAAAATTAGCCTGTACAATAGAGGGATTAAATAAGTATCCTGTATAGTAGAGGGGTTAAATAATTAGCCTGTACAGTAGAGGGGTTAAACAATTAGCCTGTAAAGTAGAGGGGTTAAATTATTACCCTGTACAATAGATGGGTTAAATAATTATCCTGTACAGTAGAGGAATTAGATAATTATCCTGTACAGTAGAGGGATTAAATAATTAGCCTATACAGTAGAGGGATTAAAAAGTTAGCCTGTACAGTAGAGGGGTTAAATAATTAGCCTGTAAAGTAGAGGTGTTAAAAAGTTAGCCTGTAAAGTAGAGGGGTTAAATAATTAGCCTGTACAGTAGAGGGGTTACATAATTAGCCTGTACAGTAGAGGAATTAGATAATTATCCTGTACAGTAGAGGGATTAAATAATAAGCCTATACAGTAGAGGGATTAAAAAGTTAGCCTGTACAGTAGAGGGGTTAAATAATTAGCCTGTAAAGTAGAGGTGTTAAAAAGTTAGCCTGTAAAGTAGAGGGGTTAAATAATTAGCCTGTACAGTAGAGGGATTACATAATTAGCCTGTACAGTAGAGGGGTATAATAATAATCCTGTTCAGTTGAGGGGTTAAATAATTAGCCTGTACAGCTGTTGAGGGATTAAATAATTAGCCTGTACAGTAGAGGGTTAAATAATTAGCCTGTACAGCTGTAGAGGGATTAAATAATTAGCCTGTAAAGTAGAGGGATTAAATAATTAGCCTGTTAAGTAGAGGGATAAAATAATTAGCCTGTACAGTAAAGGGATTAAATAATTAGCCTGTAAAGTAGAGGGGTTAAATAATTAGCCTGTACAGTAGAGGGGTTAAATAATTAGCTTGTACAGTAGAGGGGTTTAATAATTAGCCTGTACAGAAGAGTGATTAAATTATTAGCCTGTACAGTAGAGGGATTATATAGTTAACCTTTACAGTAGAGGGGTTAAATAATTAGCTTGTACAGTAGAGGGGTTTAATAATTAGCCTGTACAGAAGAGGGATTAAATTATTAGCCTGTACAGTAGAGGGATTATATAATTAACCTTTACAGTAGAGGAGTTAAATAATTAGCCTGTAGAAGGGTATAATAATAATCCTGTACAGTAGAGGGGTATAATAATTAGAGGTTATTATATGACCATTTTGATGTCATATCCCTTATCAGCCCGAGAGTTCCGATATCATCCCGAGGGGTCAAAGGCCCCGAGGGCTGATATCGGGACTGAGGGCTGATAAGGGATATGATATCAAAATGGTCATATTATAAACTTTTTGTCATGTGTTCAACTCCGACATCCGACTCCGTTTTCTGTGAGTGTTTGTGTTTTTCATACTTTTGACGAAGTTCTCCGTGTCCTCGTCACAACCGAACCTTGCACTCTTCTCCGCGTTTTCCTTATCAATGAGGTCATCCAATTCAAGTATTCTAGGCGCTAGAGAATTAAGTATTTCCTCTCCCTGGTTTGTTGACATTTTGTTTGTTGACATCTGCTCAACACACTGTCTAAGCTAAAAAAAAACCTGACAGCGCAAATCCGGATTTTACTTGGAACGCTTCGGGCGCTTCCCATATCCAATACAGAAGTAGAGGTGTTCCGAACAGGGGGTGCATTACAAGAATTGTTATTGCATGGGGGGTGCATTACGAGAAACTTATCACACGGGTGACCGGAAGTGGTATAATAAGTATCCTGTACAGTAGAGGGGTATACTAAGTATCCTATCCAGTAGAAGGATATTAAGAGTATCTTGTATAGTAGAGGGGTATAATAAGTATACTGTACAGTAGAGGGGTATAATAAGTATCCTGTACAGTAGAGGGGTATACTAAGTATCCTATCCAGTAGAGGGATATTAAGAGTATCCTGTACAGTAGAGGGGTATAATAAGTATCCTGTACAGTAGAGGGGTATACTAAGTATCTTGTACAGTAGAGGGGTATAATAAGTATCCTGTACAGTAGAGGGGTATAATAAGTATCCTGTACAGTAGAGGGGTATACTAAGTATCCTGTACATAAGAGGGGTATAATAGGTATCCTGTACAGTATAGGGGTATAATAAGTATCCTGTACAGGATACTTATTATACCCCTATTCTGTACAGGATACTTATAATACCCCTCTACTGTACAGGCTAATTATTTAATCCCTCTACTGTACAGGCTA